ATTTTATACAATGATAGAAGCTTGACCACCCAATCTTATCTCATAGATGAGTTCTAACAGTCAATATGTACATAAATTATATGTGACATAGAACCACCTCAAACTACATTGAATTCATTATCGTTGATCAGCCTCTGAATCTCAAAGTTTCCATATTTTCCTGAAGATAAAAAAGTAGCGTAATAAAAGCACAAATTTCCTCATTACGATTATTGAGAATTGATCCTTTGCTGCACACACGGCCTCAAGGGTGTGGAGTTTTTGAATTTTCGTAACATACCACCGAAAATGAATCCGATTGCGACTGCGGCTATACCTATTATCCCCCCTGTTGCTACGCCCAATCTGCTAGTCGGACTGCCACATATGGCAGCTCCTGGAGCTTTGCCTTCCGTAACTCCAGCTGTTGTCATGCCCCAAGCTGTTACACACATGCCAGAATCAATTGGACAACCAAATAATACCATATACATAAACAATCTGAACGAAAAGATAAAACGCGATGAATTAAAGAAATCCCTATACGCAGTTTTTGTTCAATTTGGTCAAATATTGGACATAATTACATGTAGGTTGATTTTGTTAGACTCTTAATTTTTGGTCGAACTTATCCCTAGTTATCCCGCCCAACAATAAGCTTGCGTTATTTGCATGATATCTTTGAAACGCGATAGTATGACGTATGTTCACTCAGCTCCTTGGTGTTAGTCTCACATCACTTCAGGACTCTGAATTACAGTGCTAACCCGAGCTCCCAATTTTGGGGGAAATTTGACCCATTTAGGGAAATGCACTATAGTAAACTTAGGGAAAATTGCACTAAAACTCCAAAATCCCCCTTTAACCTTGGTCAGGGCCATTTAACTTTGGGGATTTCCCCAGAATTCCCCAAATATTGGTGGTCATTTGACTTCAGGAGTTTCCCCAAAATGTCCCCGAACTTGGGAGCTCGGGAACTAGATCCTCATGTATCAAAAGTCGCTGCATACCTACAAAAAAGTTGAAAAGTCTGCCCGTCTTTAAACTATTCATTTCGTCTGATACGGGCTCGCCATTACTTCTATGCTACGTCTCCAACACAGCTAGTACGGTTAATAGTAAAAAGGCTACACAACAATGAGAATAGTTGTCTATTCTAGATGGAAGTATTTATTTATTATAACACATAGATATTGATACAAGGAGGCACCAAATACATATGCGCCACACAAAATTTCATTTGAGGGCTGGGATATTGCCCGGGTGCCCAAACCGAAGCATGTATTCTAAATGGAGCTTAGAAAGTCTCTAGTGTGCGTAATATTAATGCCACAGGCCACTATGACTCGCAACTTATTGAGAGTAGGATTTCACCACATTTTTGTTGTCATTTGTTTTCACTAGTCTTTGAGACATAAATGCTTCCACTGACTAATTTGAGCGTAATATTAATGCCACAGGCCACTATGACTCGCAACTTATTGAGAGTAGGATTTCACCACATATTTGTTGTCATTTGTTTTCACTAGTCTTTGAGACATAAATGCTTCCACTGACTAATTTACGCGGTAATGAATGTTAGTTGTTTCTGTCACCCCATATCCCTTGATCATTGATCTAAAAAGGATTGTGCGTTGACATTAATTAGTTTCTTTTTATGTGTAGTAAATAGTTTTACTTAACGTCATTTAACCACATGTTCATAAAACGGGAGTCTGGTAAAAAATTAGGTATTCTTCGATAGTAATGGTTAATATTTAGGTTACATATAAGCTCACTAATAATGAAACCTGACTTGGTTGTATCTGTCACTAACTGTGCTAGGTGTTAAGTTTACCCCACAACTTGTTAATCGGGTTAGGGTTTCTGCCGTTTATTGTGTAGAAGCTTGCAATATTATCTTGTCACCCATAGTGAGGTACTACGTGTTGGGATCAAAGCCGTTAAAAGGCAGCTATCAGCTTTCCATGATTTATGCTTCTAAACTTCCTTGAGTTTTTAAAAAATATAGTTATCCATTAAAAGACAGCCTTACAATGTTGTTACCGATCATTTTACATGTATAGCTTACTAGCTGCAGTCACTTTGACTTCAGCATCATTTAGTCAGATTTTGGTTGATATAGATATTTTCAACGTTTTAAATACATCAGAAGCTGTTGATTGAAAAGTTTTAATATGGCGATATTCTTTTACTGCAAGATATGTACTTGGTCTTTAGAATATACTATGATATAATTATCTGAATACTTTACTCCTTTTCTTATTACATCAGTCTCCTCAGAGGTATGCTAGATCTTGTCAAGGCTGCCCACTTTCTCCATTTTTGTTTAACTTCATCATAGACCTATTGATGGAAATAACACTCACGTCGACTGAATTCTCGGGTATTGATCTCCTTCCAGGAGGTCCACTTATCGACTTAGAATATGCAGATGACATAGTCCTGTTTGGTGAAGACGCTGACAAAATGCAGAGTCTTCTGGTAGCACTAAGCAACAATGCCAGAATGTTTGGGATGCGCTTCTCTCCTTCTAAATGCAAGTTGTTGCTTCAGGACTGGTCTGCGTCAACACCTGAACTAAGGATAGGGAGTGAAGTAGTCGAACTCGTTGACAACTTCACTTATCTTGGAAGTCTGATCAGCCCTAATGGGTTGGTGTCTGACGAAATCTCAGCACGGATTCGTAAAGCTCGTTTGGCTTTTGCCAACTTACGTCACCTTTGGCGAAGGCGAGATATCCGTCTATCAATAAAAGGACGAATATACTGCGCGGCTGTTCGTTCTGTTTTAATTTACGGCAGCGAAACATGGCCCTTAAGAGTAGAAGACACCCGTAAGCTTCTAGTATTTGACCACAGATGCCTTAGAAATATTGCTGGCATCTGCTGGGATCACCGGGTAAGTAATAGTGAGGTTAGACGCAGGGTATTAGGGAATGATGGTAAATCAGTTGATGAGGCTGTCAATCTTCATCGACTGAGATGGTTGGGCCACGTGTTACGTATGCCTGAACACCGATTACCGCGACGTGCAATGCTAACCGGTGTAGGGAATGGTTGGAAGAAAGTTAGGGGCGGCCAAACCAAAACGTGGCATCAGTGCCTGAAGTCACTAACTTCTAGTCTGAGCCATGTTGGTAGATGCAGACTACTTGGTTGGGGTCCGCGTGACTTTCGTAACCAATGGTTGGAGACCCTTGGTGACATGACTCAGAATCGATCACAATGGCGTCGGTGTATACACTCTCTGTCTTCTCTTAAACTAAGAGATTAAGATCACTTCACATCTTTCTTTCTACGAACTAATTCTTTCTTCCTATACTATATCCTTATTGCAATCTTTCTCCTATATATTACCACCTTTGACCTAACCACTCCTATGAATCCTGTGTTCATCTTGCTGTGCTAATGAGGTATGGCAACCTGGGCCGATGCATACATGTGCCTGGTCCTACGTTGTAGCTGACTGACTGACTGATGCTAGATCTTACTCCATGGATAGACTATAGGTTTTGTTGTGTCCATAGAAATACATATCACATGAGTTAAGAAGCACTTCTGATGTGTGTTCAAGGACGTGTACTAACTTAAGAGTTGGTCACCATTTACAGGCAGTCGACAGTTTCTTACGTTGTAACAAAAATGTGGAGTTCACCTCCAAAGTGATGCTTAAAAAAAGTATAATTTTAACCTAGTACATATTTCTAATCCGGAAATTGAAAATATGATTTGCATTATATATTACATAGTCTCAGTTTGACCAGGAACACTGTTGGTGTATCCAATCATAATATCCCTTAATAATAGCCCATTAATAACAATCGTAACAAATTATTTTATTCCCTATCTTGTTGTAAATACTCAACAAAACCTTTTGATTTCCTTCTAAATATCGCATCATGTTCATTCTAATTGCGAAGTTTTTCTAACAGTACGAGCTTAATTTTGCATGTTACTATTCAAGCCTATACGCTATTCTACATGTTTCTGTGAATAACTATACTCGGTGTCGTTTTGTACACACTTATTGTTGACTTACAGAAGCGTTGTATGACAGATGAAGCATGTTATCGCTACCTACATTTTCACTAATCCTTACTAGTGTTCAGATTAATTCTAAGTTGTCATAATTTTATTGTTCCTTTCGTAGCACGAACACTTAAAATGCGTGGTCAAGCTTTTGTTGTCTTTGATGATATCAATAGTGCGTCCACGGCACTTCGGGCAATGCAAAGCTTTCCACTGTATGAAAAACCCATGCGAATACATTTTGCCAAAGTTGATTCAGATGTCATTGCTAAACGTAAAGGCACATTTGTACAACGACCAAAAGCTGCATCAAGAGCAGCAGCTGCGGCCGCTGCTGCTGCTGCTGCCGAAGCCGCAGCTTCTGCTGCTGCAATTAATTCAGCCGGTCCACAAGGAGGCACTAGTGCTAGAGCTATCCGTAGAAGACAACAAAGAGCTGCAGCAGCCGCTGCTGCCGCTGCCGCTGCAGCTTCGGCCTCAGCTAACAATGATACCATCGGTGAAACAAATTCTAATGGTGTCGATCAAACTAATAGTTATCGTCCTCCTCCACCACCACCGACTGTGAATCCAGCAACTATTCCAGATCAACCACCTAATAAGATTTTATTCTTAACTAACTTACCGGATGATTCTGACGAAGCAATGTTAAGTATGCTTTTTGGACAATTCACTGGCTATCGAGAAGTTCGTATGGTTCCAGGAAGACATGATATTGCTTTTGTTGAATTTGGTAATGAAGTAGAGGCATCAGCTGCAAAACTTGGCCTTCAAGGTTTTAATATACGACCCGGTCAAGCTATACGTATTACTTTTGCGAAGAAATAAAAGGATTTTGAAAAAAAATTAGTTCATTCATTTTAACTATGAATTTCTTCAATCTTATTACTTCATACGTGTACATGTTTACAATTTTCAATAAAATTAAAATTCTATTTGGTCTTAATGAGTTTTCTTTCTCATACCAATAATTGATATTATCTGATTGTTGAAAAAATGATGACGCTTATTGTTGTTTTTCCTGTTTAATTAATTGTATTTGTATAGACTTTGGCTTTTGGTTTGTTCCGTATGAATAGATTATATTGAACGAACCCTTGTGTATAACATTAGTTTAAATGTACTAAACACTAGATAACTAAAATATTTTATCATTAATTTTCATTGCCTTTACAAACCAGTCTAAATGTTATAACGGATCCCATATTTACTCGTACTTGTCATTTATCAAAAATTCCAAAGTAGCAAAATGGATTGGTTTTGTGGTGTGTAGGTTTTAAAGGCACTTAGGTCACTGGAAAAACTAAGATGTTACTATAATCACATTCAGTTGACTACTTTGCCCACGTAATCTATTTCTTAAAATGGTCATCCAGTACTTTGTTGGATTGTATGAATAGAGTAGTGAACGATATTCATTCAGACTTCACAGCTGACGTAACTACTTGCAACCACCGTATCTACATTTTTGTACATACAGGACTTCTCAAGTTGTGTATGGTGTTTAGTGACTGGAGGTAATCTACAGGAATTACTGAACCCCGGAGTAATGCTGTCTGACGCTTAAACGAGGGACATCTTCCGTCTTGGAGTAACTTCATGTGACAATCTAGAACACTGAGTTAGTCATAAAGAGAACATCAGTCTCCCTAAGACTGAAGATACGTCTTACTTAAGAGCGTTAACTGTCTTAGAACTTAAACACAGTGCTTCTTTCAAGTTGCCTCTAATATCAAAGTGAAATGCACTGTGAAATCGATTAATTTTGACAATTATTAACATTGGAACCTGGCCGTCAAAATTCATCAAACATTCAGTACTAGATAACATGACATTGATTACTGCTAAGTAACTAATCAGTCTACGCTGCGTAAACATGTTCGGTCTTTAATTAGTGCAATTTGATTGTTACAATTACTCCATAGAAACCTTAAACTAGTCTGAAGTTTATTCTTCCAACTAAAACTTGTATGGTGAAGCAGTGGCTCAGTTGTAATAGTGTTTAACTTTCAGTCACCCATGGGTTCAAATCCTCCTACACTTCGGTCTAGGAAGTCGAATCATATCGCTAGCCGTCTCCAAATGTGATTCAAATTCATTGACAAAAATTTGTACTCGGATTATGAGCTAATACTAATGATATATAATTGACCTTTATTTATTTTATGATTATTTGTTTGAATGGATTAAAGCTTGATTTGTGCACGTTATGCAATGAAATTAATATTATTGTAGCCTGATTTCTACGCAGTAGTTGTCCGTTTGTACATTTTCAGTCCACTAGCATACATATTGAAATTTGCGTGTTCTTTATATGTTTTGATCATAGTAAGAAAGCAATCTCATCAAAGCATACAAATGCAGGCCTATACAGAATTTCCATTTTCGACAGATTAATTAAAGTACATAAAGCGCATTTTCCAAACTGATGCTTCCAATCAAAAAGCAAACCTATAAATAGTACCCTAGTTTCACTTCTAATCTGAAACTACTGGTAATAGTAGTAACATATGATACTTCATAGTTTACATCACTGACTGACTTTAGACAACTATTCTAAACTAGGCAACACTGGACAGCTGTTTCGTTCTCATGAAAATCCTCAGACAGTTCTTAATGCAGACTTTAAAACTTAAAAATCAAAAAATCCCCCACACTGATTATATATATAATATCAAGTCCTACCTTCTTTCAGCATGTAACACTATTTCAATTCATTCATTATATCCCTTCTTTATTTCCATATATATACGGTGTGTGCATGCGTGCGTGCTCGGATTTGATAACTATCAGTTCTATAAATGGATATCCGACCAAATCACACGTTGTATGTGAATAATCTAAATGACAAAGTAAAGAAAAACGATTTGAAAAAAGCACTATATTATATATTTGGTCAACATGGTCGACTAATTGATATTATAGCTATGAAAACAATGAAAATGCGTGGACAAGCATTTATTATCTATCAAGATATTGCTTGTGCAACGCAAGCTTATCGTTCATTACAGGGATTTCAGTTATTTCAACGAGTAAGTTTATTTTGTTTAGTCCTAATGCATGTATATATTTGTATACTTATGCAGTGTTGTGAACGAACTGAAGCTATAAATTGATCATATTGGATATGTAGCTATCAGTAAAGTTTAAGACACGCATTTTGTCCTATCTGCAGATCGTCAGCTGGGTGTATTTGGATTCCAGTGTTGATGTTCACACTGACTCAAACTCTGTACTTTTCTCTTCGAGTAATTATTATGTTATCCATTGAGCTATTAAGTACAGTGATCCACTCAAATATTCAGCAGGTATAAATGTGTCAGTAGATGTATGTGATTTCCTGTTGTTGATGCTCAGGGCTGCAATTAATCTTTCTCTGATACGTGTGCATTCTTAGCGGGTTGCCGCGATATAGCTTTATCACAGGATTCAGTATGTGTCATTTGGCATGCTTGAATATCAACAATGGAAATTTACGGTTTTTTACCAACACTACTTAGTACTTTAAGTAAAATTAAGTCTTACATTACTCAGTAACCAACTTGTGGTTCATGTATTAGAATTCGAGTCACATATTTTGTTTGAGAGCTAATGAGACCACTACTGCTACTATTACATATCTACGCGATGTTCAAGTTTATAACCATTGACTGGAAATCTTATCCCTTGTCTACTAAGCAAATTTAAGCGATCAATTTGAAAATTTAAACATCACTTTCTGTACTTTGAAAGATTTCCCCACTACTAAATCCATCTCAATAATTAATTATTTCCATGTAGTTATACATCAAGTAACAGCTAGTCTAGGTTACAAATTTTCACCCAAGTTGGTGAATGCACCGGGAACAAACATACTTTATTAAACACATGCATTGAGATAAAATAACCAGTTCAATATGGCTAAATGGATCATAATTGCATCAATCAATTAAAAAAGTGGATATTTTAGAGGTTCCAAAAAATATAGACTAGAAAACTTTGCAATAGGTTAACAGTTACTTATAAGTAATATTGTCAAAAAGCATGACTCAGAAGTCATAAAACAATACTAATAACATGAAGTTTTGTACATGGGGTTTTTAAGTTTCAATCGTGTTAGACATTGTGAGGCTTCATATGCACTTGAAAAGGCCAGTTGGTATCTTCCGTTCATTATTTTTCGAAGATCATCTTACGAACTAAACAATAATAATAACAGGTTGGTTGAGTCCAGATATATGATGCTCCTGTGCGCACATGATGTATTAAAGCCAAGTGCTAAGTGATAGATAACGAACAAGTCATTATATCGAACTTAGCTAATTGTGCCCTTTTCCAAAGTCTTGGATATTATACCTAAAGGGCTATATATATCAATAATTTGTGTACATTATTATTACGTCTCTAGTTATAGCTTCCTATTCACTCTTAGGCTGCTCAATCACGTAACTTATTGTGATCTAATATAGGAAGTGTTGTGTTTGTATCTTTTTGGATTACGACAGAGCTGAACATATATCAAATAAAGCACTTTTGAAATACAACCTACTACCCTTTGTGTATTCGATAGCACAACTGTCTTCTTTACTTTTTTATTAGATGATTTCCATATACTCTTTCTGCATACTATGTAATCTCGAGCATTAAGTACGGTGGATATGTATGCTAGACGCATTAAGTTTAGGAGCTAATCGAGCAGTCATATTTATCATGATAATATTGTATTATATGAATGATATAAAATCCACACCCTTCCTCTTCATGCTCTCTTTTTTATGTCGTATACCGTTTCGATTATCACTTTTAACAATGTTGGGTATTCGAGAAAAACTTCCCTTTTCTTGTGTTGTGCGCACCTGTTCCAGTCAGTCAGCTAGTACGTAGGACCAGGCACATATATGCATCGGTCTAAGTTGCGACACCTCGTTAGCATAACAAGATAAACACCAGATTCATAGAAGTAGTTACTTCAATCGTTTATTTATTTATTTGAACATAAATACGGGTACAAAGGGGCACCAGATACATATGCGACACACAATAATAATGTGAATGTGAAGGGATAAAGAATGTGAGGTGCGTATAAGAAAAAAAGAAACAATAACGAACAGAAATTAGTGTATGATAGGGAAACAATAGTAAAGAAGGAGCAGTTCAGTTAGCAAAGGTACAACCAGAAAAAATTCTTTCAGTTAAGGAAGTTACAACCACTTTTTATGAAGAAAGTAAAGGAAGGTTACTGCAGGATCGCTACTGGCTCCTATTCTGAGCCATATGTGATAACGTCTCTAGCCACTGTGTTGCACCATCTCTCAGACTCCAACCAGGGAGTCGTGAAGGACCAACACAAGCCAGTCCTTTGCAGCTTTCTTTCATGCCACGACACCATGTCATACAGTGACCACCTCTCCGCTTCTTCCAACCAGTCCCAGAGTCGGCAAATAATGCACGACGTGGAATTCTCTGGGACGACATTCGGAGAACATGTCCAAGCAACCAATTTACCGACAACGATCCGTTTAGGATGATGGATTTGTTGTCCACTGAAAATTAAGGTAAGATTGGAGCAAACAAGAGTATGATCAGAGTCCAGATAGGTACTCCAAAAGGAGCAGCGGTTTTGTACACAACCACGTCAGCAGTAGCTGATCGCGATGTGCTCAATCTGAGTCCAGGTTTGAGATGCAGAGGAAGGGCGCTCAGTGGCACGTTGGCGATGACTATGCCGGTAGTTAGTGCTAGCCAGAAACAGGTTGTGGTCTGCGCACAGTTGCAATAGACAGTCCCTGTTATCTGTCCCGCGACCAACAAGTCCCCATCGGCCACCTAAACAACTCTCTTCTGTGCCTAGACGCCCGATCTGAGCATCCAAGTCTCCGGCTAGCACTACAATATCTGTCGAACGCACTTCGTGGAGAAGCACTGTTAACTGGTGGTAAAATTCATCCTTGATTGCATCTGGGCTGCAATCTGTCGGGGCATAGGCGGAGACGACGAAAAGACGTCGTTTTTCACACCGATTTCTTATTACTTTGATGGAATTTTCTAATCTAACACAAATGAAATGAAATGACGATATTACTGAAAATACTATTCACGCTTCGATTGAAAGTCAAACAATTCACAATATTTTTATTATTACCACGTCACTTATTCACTCTCTTTTATTCCTACTTTGTGTATCCTTATTTTACAACTTATACAGCAGCTCGCTTTTGGTGGAAATTCGGTTCTATCTAAACGATCTCGAGTCACTGACTGGTCGAAAATTGAATGCTACCACCGAATACGAATACTGAAACAGTTTTTCTGAAACCACTGTGTGGCGCATATATATCTGGTGCCCCCTTGTACCAATATTTATGTATTCAAATAAAATAAATGTAATAATAATCTAACAGCATATAATCGACTGTTAATGGGGATCCAATCGATTAGTGCTGCTTCAGCTCTAGCGCTTAGTACAACACCGACGACAGCAAAACCAAAAGATGCCACAGGGTCCCCGGATAAGCGCACATAATAGAAGCTTTTCGAAGTGACAAATAGGGAGCGGATTTGTAGTACTTCACTGGAGTCTTGAATATAGGTATCGGATAGACAACAGAGGTCGATATTAAAACTTTCACTGGTAGTAATATATAAAAGAAAGATTATGTGTAAGGGTATAATACAGGAAGGTAGGATTAGTTCGTAGAAAGAAATGTATGAAGCAATTTTAATCTCACGGTTTGAGAGAAGACAAAGAGTGTATACACCGACGCCATTGTGATCGATTCTAAGCCATGTCACCAAGAGTCTCCAACCATTGGTTACGATAGTCACGCAGACCGCAATCAAGTAGTCTACATCTACCAACATGGTTAGACCAGAAGTTTGTGACTTCAAGCACTGGTGTCACGTTTTGGTTTGGCCGCCCCTAACTTTATTCCAACCATCCCCAACACTAGTCAGAATTGAACGTCGTTGTAATTGGTGTTCAGGCAAACGTAACACGTGACCCAACCATCTCAGTCGATGAAGATTTACAACCTCATCAACTGATTTACCGTCATTCCCTAATACCCTGCGTCTAACCTTACTATTACTTACCCGGTGACCGCAGCAGATGCGACCAATATTTCTAAGGCATCTGTGGTCAAATACTAGTAACTTACGGGTATCTTCTACTCTTAATGGCCATGTTTCGTAGCCGTAAAGTAGAACAGAACGAACTGCTGTGCAATATACTCGTCCCTTAATTGATAGACGGATATCTGGCCTTTGCCATAGGTGACATAAGTTGACAAAATCCAAACGAGCTTTTCGAATCCGTGCTGAGATTTTGTCAGACATCAACCTATTAGGGCTGATCAAACTTCCAAGATAAGTGAAGTTGTCAACACGTTCTGCTACGTCACTCCCTATCTTTAGTTCAGGTGTTGACGCAAGCCGGCCCTGAAACAACAATTTTCACTTAGTGTGGAAGAAACACATCCCAAACATCCTATCATTGTTGCTCAGTGCTACTAGAATTATTACTTCTCTTTTTGTTACATATCATAAAGTTAATATCTGCCTTTTGGAATACGCAATCGTTACTTAATAATTCAATTGTAATGATTTATGTCATCCGATTGTTTCTGTTATGGACTGGAATTGATCAGTCTCTTTTAAAATATGTGCATCCTTAGGGGATTGTCTTGATATTGCTGTCATTCATAAGCTCTTTTAATCATATACAGATAATAGTCGTAGGAGTAGTAGAATTCAAGACACACGTCTCATCCTATTTGTGAATCATCAGCTCGATGTACTTACATCCCAGTGTTGATGTTCACTCCATTACTCGAATCTACCATTAACAACCGTTCATCTCTGCTTACAAAAATTTCACTTCCTTTAATGTTTTATTCTGTTATATTCATATTTTTTTTTCTCAGCCTATGCGAGTAACGTATGCTAAAAAAGACTCGCAACAAATTATCTGTTTGAAAGGTGTCAGTGCTGAAGTTCAAAAGAGACGTGAAGAAGAACGCGAAAAACGTAGACGAAAGAAAATGGCACAACGTGCTGCAGCGGTAGCAGCGGCTTTACAAGCAGCTAATCAATCAGTAAATGGTCCAGTATGTTTTAATCATTATTATTGTTTTCTTTATTTGATCATAAAAACGATTTGACCAGTTCAATATCATATATATTAATAGTATAGTATAGTTGTAAAATCCTCTAAGCTAGTACTTAGTTTAATTAACTGCAAAGACTTTATTCTGGATATTACATCATCAACATTCTATTCATGTATAGAAGTGAACTATTTAGAGTGATTCCATAAGTGCTAAATCAATTATTTTTGTGTTACTGTTGTTTATGATTAATCTAACCTCTCATATTTCATTGTCTTCGTTTGTTCTTCTATTCAAGTTGACTGTTTTGTTTGATTGGTTTCTGGTCAGATTGTTTGTCATCTGACATTTTCTTTCAAATGAAATAACTAAAGAGTCCACTTATTATAAATTAAATAAGCGTCAATTTTTTGTTATTCAGAAGGATCACCAGGTAAGTAATAGTAAGGTTAGACGCAGGGTATTAGGGAATGACGGTAAATCAGTTGATGAGGTTGTAAATCTTCATCGACTGAGATGGTTGGGTCACGTGTTACGTTTGCCTGAACACCAATTACAACGACGTTCAATTCTGACTAGTGTTGGGGATGGTTGGAATAAAGTTAGGGGCGGCCAAACCAAAACGTGACACCAGTGCTTGAAGTCACAAACTTCTGGTCTAACCATGTTGGTAGATGTAGACTACTTGATTGCGGTCTGCGTGACTATCGTAACCAATGGTTGGAGACTCTTGGTGACATGGCTTAGAATCGATCACAATGGCGTCGGTGTATACACTCTCTGTCTTCCCTTAAACTAAGAGATTAAAATCGCTTCATATCTTTCTATGAAGTAATTCTTTATTCCTGTGCTATATCCTTATATGCAATCTTTCTTTTGTATATCACCACCTCTGAATTAACTACTTTTGTGAATCCGGTGTTCATCTTGTTGTATTAATGAGGTATGGTAACTTGGACCGATGTATATATGTGCCTGATCCTACGTTGTAGCTGACTGACTGACTGAAGGATAGTGAAAGATTCATAAATAAATCATATCGCCCAGTTTACTTGTCATCACCATATATGTTTAACTGAGCTACAATTTTTTCCTATCATATTGTGTATATCAGTGAAATACACAGTTATGTTTTTTTTGTCTTGATTGTATTCAGAATTATAATATTTAAGTTGTATTGGAAATCCATCCGACTTCATCTATTATAATTCCAAGTCGATTTCAAATATATTACTTATAATGACGTTGCGTAGCAATTTCAGAGATAACTTGATGTTAAATGTCTAATATGAAATACGTTTTGGGAAATATGTATATTTCATACAAATTGTTTTGACAAATTATTGGGGTAATGTACAGAGATAGTAGAAAGCGTGTAGAATGGTATACTGACTAATCATGGTATTGATTGAATTGACTTTACAATCAAATCATTCTGTATGCTGATTGACTTGAGGGATAGATCATTGAGTGGATTATTGAGTCAGTGTAGTGATTCACGTCTAGCCTGAAGGTACTCTGTGTTATGGGGGAGGGGACAGAGAGCAGCGTGCTTGAAGAAAGCTGGAAAAGAGACGAATAAGAGGAAAAGTGAACCGACAACTCAGTAAGCATATACAGTTCACTTACATTTAATGATGAAACCAGTCGATAATGACCAATAACAGCGTGTGAGCAAGACAATTTGACACTCACAACTCGAAATGCTAGCATGAGACCTCTAATGAGCTACACTCAGTTCATATCAGTCAACCAGTCATACGCAAATTAGAACCTAACACATTTGCTTTGGTTGAAGTTGCCACACCACATTAGGACAGCGAGATAGAATTATTTAAAGACATCCCAGAGCAGCGGAGTAGTAACAGTATCAGTAGTAGTGTGGTAGATGCTACTTATGTTGACATATATAAGCAGTATGTAGCACCGATGGTAAGTGAAATGCATGTCTGCAGAAGATTGGGAAGATTCAATTAACGAAAACAGAAAGTAATCGTAATGACAACGGAACTAAAAGAATCAAGAAGGATGTAAAGGACGACTGTTGGAAGATGTGCAAATTACTTATTTGATGTATGGTTTTCATATCTTACGAGTAAACTCGGTAATTTTGCATTAAACAATAAATTGATCTTCTCCACCTGAGTTTTTGTCTACTACAGTAGTAGTAATAGTAAAAATTAGGTATAGAAAAAACTAAACGGAAGGTATAAGAATATTTTGAGACTGAGGTTTTAAACAGGGACGAAGAGCGAATTCACCAGCAACATTTTGACAGCTGGCAGTTGTCATAAACCAGCTGAGTTTTCTAATTTTATCCCGAGATTTCGTCAGACATCAAAGCACCAGGTTTGATGAGACTTCCAAGGTGAGTGAAGTTATCGACGTGCCCCCTCCACTTCACTCACTATCATTATTCCAAGTACTGAGGGTGAACAATCCTGAAGCAGCATTTCGCATTTAATTGGAGAAAATCGTACTGAAAACATGCTTTCATTATTGCTTAAGTTAGTCAAAGGACTGAACTTTGTTGGTGTCTTCATTAAACAGGACTATATCATCTGCGAATTCTAAGTCATCATCAGTCAGTTTTTGTATCTATACATTCAATACAATAAACGGATTAAAGATGTCATATATATAATTGTCAGGCTTTTTGCCTTTTCAGATAACAATAGGTATCTACGTAAGCATGCATAGTATGGGTCTGCTACAGTGTCATTAGCATAACTAAAAATGTAGGTAAGCTCATACATACACTGATAAAATGTCTATTTATTGATTAACAGCTTAACAATCTATGTGCTATAATGCAAATATAAAGCATAATCTAATAATCCATGCTATGAGAAACAGGTAATTTTCTTAGGGCCCCATTCCCCGGGCCTTTAACCCTGAATTTACTCCACAAAACAGTGGCACAACATCATGTGATACGTTTTCATGGTAGCCGGTAACCAAAATGAGTTCATACACCCCATTCCTGGAGCACTTGCACATAATCGTTCAACTTCCTTGGTTGAGCCTTCCGTATTCACTAGCCCGGTTGATTTAAGAGCCACTTTCCGTCCTCCCAATTTTGTAGAAAATACCCGCGCCACATCGGCCAGACTGTCCTGCCCTCCATGGCCGGTGACGACTGATCCACCAAACGAGGAGGAAGTCCGCAAGGAACTCCAACTCTTGAAGCGTTACAAATCACCTGGCCCAGATGACTTACCTCCGGCTCTTTTTAAAGATGGTGGTGACTTTTTGACTAAGGAATTGACGACGTTGTTTACAAAGGTTTGGGAACTAGAGAGTGTACCAACGTCATGGAATGAGTCGATAGTTGTCCCTATCTTTAAAAAGGGTTCACGTCGTTCCTGTAACAACTATCGGGGGATAAGTCTACTTCCGATTGCGTCCAAGCTATTGGCTTCCGTCATACTTCGTAGGTTGTTCAAAACCCGAGAAAGATTGACTCGCGAGGAGCAGGCTGGGTTTCGTTCTGGTCGAGGATGTATTGATCATATCTTCACCCTCCGCCAAATGTTAGAACACCGCCATACTTATCAAAGGCCAACAATCGTAGTGTTTCTTGACATCAGGGCTGCCTTCGATTCGTTGGACAGGACTGTTCTCTGGGATTGTCTATTGAAGAAGGGTGTGCCTGAGAAGTTTATTAACATCCTAAAAGCCCTATATAAAAACACCTCAGGCAGAGTGAGGGCATACAACCACCTCTCTCCATTGTTCCATTCGAGCAGTGGGGTTAGGCAGGGTTGCCCAATCTCACCATTCCTCTTCAACTTTGCCATCGATGACATTCTGGAAACAGCTCTGATGAATGTAAGTAATGGTGGTGTGGATCTGTTGCCTGGAGAAAGACTTCTCGACCTTGAGTATGCGGACGATATTGTCTTACTGTGCGATAATGCCCAAGGCATGCAATCCGCACTTAATCAGTTGGCAATCAGTGTCCGTAGGTATGGTATGTGCTTTGCACCTTCGAAGTGCAAAGTACTTCTACAAGACTGGCAGGATTCCAATCCTGTACTCACCCTGGATGGTGAGCAGATAGACGTAGTCGAGAAGTTCGTGTATCTGGGTAGCTGCATAAGTGCTGGTGGGGGTGTGAGTGATGAGATCAATGCACGTATAGTGAAAGCCAGAGCGGCTTATGCCAATCTGGGCCACCTTTGGCGCCTTCGTGATGTTAGTCTGGCTGTAAAAGGTCGGATCTACAACGCGTCGGTGAGAGCAGTTTTGCTCTATGCTTGTGAAACCTGGCCTCTCCGAGTTGAGGACGTTAGACGACTCTCTGTGTTCGATCATCGCTGTCTCCGAAGGATTGCTGACATTCAGTGGCAACACCATGTCAGTAATGCAGAGGTTCGGCATCGTGTGTTCGGGCACAGAGATGATAATTCAATTGGTGTCACCATCTTGAAACACCGACTTCGGTGGCTTGGACATGTTCTCCGAATGTCGTCCCAGAGAATTCCACGTCGTGCATTATTTGCCGACTCTGGGACTGGTTGGAAGAAGCGGAGAGGTGGTCAGTGCATGACATGGTGTCGTGGCATGAAAGAAAGCTGCAAAGGACTGGCTTGTGTTGGTCCTTCACGACTCCCTGGTTGGGGTCTGAGAGATGGTGCTACACAGTGGCTAGAGACGTTATCAGATATGGCTCAGAATAGAAGCCAGTGGCGATCCTGCTGTAACCTTCTTTTACTTTCTTCATAAAAAGTGGTTGTGTCTCCCTTACCTGAAAGATTTCTTCCGATTGTACCTTTGCGTTCCCTGATTACTAGCACATTACCTTACACCAATCTCTTCGTCATTGTTCTCTTTTTTTTGTTGCGCTCCTTAGCTTTTTTTTCTTTGTATTCCTCTCGAATTTTCATTGTTTTGTGTGGCGCATATATATTGGCGCTCTCTTGTACCAATATTCATGTGTCCAAATAAATAAATAAACAAGGACGCAGTTAATAGGACCTTCCTGGCAGAACCTATAATCATGTGACTATACGTTAGCATTTTACGAGAGCTAACACTCCGCGCTTTCTTTCTTGATTAGATGTATGATATATTAATGACTTGGACCATAGTACTAATTCACGTATTCTAAAAAAACCGTTTTAATTTTTTCTCCAATAAATATTTTAAAATACACTCCATCACTTTTGTCAAATCTCTTTTAGGCGGGTACCGGTGGAGATATCAATGCATTGTTAGATCAACCAAATCATATTTTATTTGTTAGCAATTTACCAGAAGAAACTACTGATGCTATGCTTACTATGTTATTTAGTCAATTCTCGGGATTTAAAGAGGCTAGACGCGCTGCTGGTGGAGTTGGCTTTGTCGAATATGATACTGAATCACAAGCTGCTGCTGCGCGATCTGCTTATGAAGGATTTAAACTGACACCGACTCATGCTATGCAAATTACATTTGCTAAGAAATAAAGATCACTTTCCTTTTCCTTAACATTATTCGTTAGTTAATTGGTATTATTGATATTATCGTTGTTATTATTCTTATGATTACCTGCTAACACCGCATATTGATGTAGATGGTAATTAGACATATATAACACATATCTCGAGCACATTACTTGATGAAGATTAATAATCATACCAGCCGCTTTACTATCTTTCTTCAGTACTCTGTACATAACCTCAGGACTGCTGACTGGATTATACCGACAATATACGAGGATTGTGTAACTAGAGAGCGATAATACCTAGCCTCATTTCAAATACCACAATTCTCCTTTCCTTCCGCTTATTACACACTGGTTAAGAAGATTAGGCTTACAGAGAAGTGGATAAAAGTGGTTTTATTTAAACAAATACCACTTGCCTATCAAATAAGTTGAGAAATCGGCGTAACAAATCTTTTCAGTAAAAAAATTTGAGAGGGAAATTTTCAGCAACATATTATGATGATATACTTTTCGAGTTAGAGATTTATTGAAGGAGTAAGTCATTCCTTGTGTACGTGTATGTGTATGAGTATTAGGTGATGTGTGTATTCCGGTTGTTGTGAATGATGTTGTTGGTGGTGGTGAAAAAGTGGTATTGCAGTTGGCGTCAGTGTGCAATGATGGTTGTGCTAGTGATTGTGTTTGTTTTGTTGCTGGTTTTTGTGTGCGATATGAGTTGATATTGTGTGGTATATATATATATATATATATATATATATATATATATATATATATATATATATAGTTTTATAGCTTTGGAAATCAACTGTACAAACAGAGCACTGTTGACTGAACCAATCTTTCTTATTTTATGACTAAATGAGTATATTCCTTTAGCCTATTCCAATGAATGTCTTGAGTTGTTTGTTTGTTGTTTAGCTCTGTTCATCTTTGACGTGTTCCTTCATGTTCTTGTTCTTCTTCTGCTCTTTTTCCTTCTAAATGTACTCCTATTCATTCAATGCAGGTTGAACTTGTTTGTAGAGATTATGTTGCAAATGGTGGTTGAGAGACATTTTTAGCCTATGAGGATCTATATCAAGACACATTGATAGGTTTATGACGTTTACGAAAGTGTTCACTGCAACACGTTATATTAGTGATGATGATAATGATTTTCAAGGTAGTGAAGATCCTTGTTGTTTTATTGTACGTGAATTGCATGTATATGGTAGTGCTGTTCTAGTGGCTGCTAGGGATCCCACAAATTTACAACATCAAGTACGTTCAAGTGTAATTTAATTGTATATCGGATAAGAGATGCTTTTTTGTGTGTGTTAATAACAGTAACAATAATAATAATAGCATTCTAAAGTTAGGAATTTCTGTTAAATACTTTTTCAAGTCCACCGAAGTTAAGCATCCGGAAGGTAGGTCACAAACTGTCATGGCTTCTCCTTAAACATATTGTTCTGCAAAAAAATCCTTCGTGGTTTTTAACTCAGCAAGAACTGCAAAGTTTCAGTGCAGACAAATAGAAAACTGACCAATCAATGTAGTCGGACGAGTAGGTAATACATTAAGCAATCAATAACTAATTAGTTAACAATTAATCAATGAAATAAACTAAGAGAATCGTGCAACTCACTTCTAGTTACTCTTAAGTAATGTAGTTGTCATACGCAAATCTCTCAACCCTAGTCTTTCTTACGAATTGTCCACATTCACAAACAAATCATGCACAAACTAACTCTACATTCGTACACCCGTCTGTCATTATTTTTACTCAGTTTACGGTAGATAATCTCGGTTGATAGAAAGATTGCCTAATTTTTTAGTTTCGTTCGAACTATCATCATTTTCATAGCACTCGACATTTTGGGAATTTAGTTTAGAGATCCTCAGGTTACCTTCCAGTGATCGAATCATCTCGTGTCAAGTGTAATGTAGTGTTTCGTTTGCCACTGTGATATGTAGACAGTTATTTCTGCAAACGATCTGGTCTATAAGTCGATCAGTGCTAAGGACTAGGACAAACATAACAATGGGCACTTCTACGTGACTAATCAATTGTTAACAGCTCAGACCTGCAGGACGTTATTCACTTCCTGAACAGCTGGAAATTCGGTATGCTGATATTTTCTACCACTTCCCACACGACATAACATTGACAATTGATTCATTGTGTGGGTTAGATACATCCGAGTTATTTGTACATGATCTACTATTCATGTATCACCAATATCCCCCATCTGCCAATATATATTTATGCCTCATACAGCGGTGTACTCAGTTGAAATACAGCTTTTCTCTTATTGATGTTCCATGTACTACTAACTAAACTTGGAACCGGCAAGCCACTATCGAAATAAAGATGCATGTAGCATTTCAACAGACATGTTTATAGCTAATCCAAGTGGTAAAACGTCCCGTTAGTCGTATGTCGGTAAATTGTTTACTGCTGTGATATTCGATTGCAAACACGCAGTCACACCAGACATTCATAGTCATTATCGTCAACGTCCATTTCACACACTCATATTTCATTACATTTTCATGTAGACATTTATATGGGACCAGGTCTGTGATGCTCGTTAGGTGAAGTAGTCGTCTGCCTGTCATCCGCAATAGGGGTCACATCACACTATACTATCAAGGCGTTAGTAGGACGGTTTGTATGTTTCCAATTACTTGGAGAAAATAATGCCCAACTGACAGATATAACGGATAATTGGAGTTAAGGTGAATAGCTTTTGGATACGTACTACAAGATGTAACCTACAGCTACTTTGCCAATGCCACTAACTGTTGCAAAATACTTAATTATGATGACTAGAAGTATTCAAATTGACTTGCTAAGAATTCACAGTATAGTGTAACTAAAGGCATGTAAATCTAAATAAGCACAACTGGACGTATTATATTTGCAACTCGTAATCAGCACGCGATCAGGTACAAAAGAATAGTATAAATACCACATTAATCCGTAGTACTACAAGCAACATAACCAGCGTCGTTGAATTGAGAGTTTATTCATAAAAGACAATGTATATTTACGTCTTATGTTCCTGTTGATACAGTTCGTAGTACCTGCTGCTTCACCTAAGGAGTTGATAAGAACAATCTTATAGTAAGGAATACTACTTATGAAATTACAACGTTGTTCTATATTCATATAAAAGGTGCATAAACGACACACAATATAATGGGAAATCGAACAGAATTTCATACCATGTGCTTTGGCAACAATCTCCTTTAGCGTATTTATAGAAGCTCAGCGAAAAGCAACAAACACCAGAATCAAGTATGCTTAAGTAAAGTGTAGAAAACCTATCTACACAGCAGTTATCGCTCGTGTATGCATGTATGGAACTCGTAAACTTGGTGGTACTAAATTTAAATTGATTTTGTTACGAATGAACACAAATGAAAGACGATATATGACACCATACAGTTAGCCAGAAAGTCAGCTTCGCATAAAGTACACACACGGAGAGCAGGAGCAACCAAACCAAACCGGAAAGTAAAGCAATTGATGAAAACATAAACACACAGAACGAAAAAATTGACAAAATACGTCAGAAAAGAAGAAATGTAAACGTTTACAATAGCGCGACGTTGCATGCCCTGAATGAAGTACGTGACGAGTTGTCGGCGATTTGACTTTTGAGTGTATAGACTTGTGTTGTGACGATCGGCGTTGCAATGTTGATTGTGTCGAGATGTGTGAAAATGTGTGCGTCGGTGACGTCCGTGATTGTCGTGACAGTTGTGAATGTGAGTGTTTTGGTGTGCTTTCGAGTGTGTGAGGTAGAGTGAGGGAGTGATCGATTGAGTGAGAACTCGTGTATGTGTATTGGGTGATGTGTGAGTGTGTGTTGTGGTTGTTGTGAATGATGATGTCGTTGTTGTGCTGATGGTTGCGGTTTCGGTTGCGGTGGCGGTGACGGTGGTGTTGGTTGTGCTGGTGTCGTAGTTGTGCTGGTGGTGGTGTGAAATTGGTATTGTAGTTGGTGTCAGTGTTTGTGTAATGGTGGTCATGCTAGTGATTGTGTTTGTTTTGTTGCTGGTTGTTGTGTGCGATTTGAGTTGGTATTGTGTTGTGGTATGGTCTGTGTGTGGGGTCGACGAATGTCGCCTCCGTGGCGCAACCGGTTAGCGCGTTCGGCTGTTAACCGAAAGGTTGGTGGTTCGAGCCCACCCGGAGGCGCTTCCCACTTTTGACGAAACACATCAACAACATCAACACTCGCTTCGTCACACATCCATCAATACACTCACACTGTACAACTACTCCACCAACACACACCCGGATTACTCTCAATCCCTGTGGCAATATACCACTCCACAATCATCTCTCCATCCAACGACTACACGTCCACTGTCCACTACCACACGTCAATTACACCACACTCCATTCGAATTTACACTATACACCACTGTGTCAAACACTCTCTTCACACATTCCACACGTCCTAACTCACGCACTCATTCACTGATGACCTCATTCTCACCCACAACACATTTGACGCGTTGAATTGATCAACTGTCAGACTCGAAATTCCACTATGTTGTTTGACAACGCAGTTGGCGAATACCAACCAATTCTCCGTGCAAACACGCTCCTCAATCATCACCGAACTGATCGCACTATGTGGACATAGGGAACGAGACACACCAGTGCAATTCATCACCAGAATATTGCCAACAAGGGACTCAAACGTCTACCATGCAACTGCCTGACGACCAGTCAGTGTCGATGTAGACCGATGCAAAACTCGTCGGAACAAATCTCTGACTGATTCGACTGCATTCTGAACTAGATGAGTGGGTGATTAGTGTTACTGAACGTAGGTGTACAAGCCGGTGCAGACGTAGCAATCGAATCCGTTAGTGTGCATATGTGTGGGTGTATGCGTGTGTGTGTGTGCGTATGTGTGACTCGGATTAGTGGTGTGAGTCTGTGAATTAGTAGTGTGTCGGTAGCGACGTTGGATGACGTGAATGAGGTACGTGACGAGTTGTCGGCGATTCGACTTT